ATTCCCAGCCTCAGCCTAACCCCGCTCCCCCTATACAGGGGATTAAATCCATGTCCACTCTACCACTGAGCTATATTCCCATCCTTTGTTTTTGAGACAGCATTTTGCTAAGTTGAAAAGTTGGTCTCAGACTTGCAATGCTCCTGCCTCTAAATGCTTCCTGAGTTGCTAGGATACATTTTTGCACCTCCATGCCTGGTTTAGCCTAAATTTTATATTAGCTAAAAACCTTTTACTTTTGTGGTATAGAAAGCTTTTGGTAGGCTATTGCAGCCAGCCTTTGTTAGGACTTGAGCTCATTAGCTATTTGTTTCTGGAAAATGGCATAAAAATTAAGATGATTTGGAAAATATGTTACAAGCAATTAACTAATGAAAACTTTTGTGTGTGTGTGTGGCACAGAAATTGAATCCATGCTCTTCTTCTAAACTGTATCCCCAGACCTTTTTATTTTATTTTATTTTACTTTTGAGACAGGGTCTTGCTAAATTGTATAGGCTGGCCTCTAATTTGCAATCCACTTGCCTCAGCCTCTCGAGATGCTGGGATTACCAGCATCTGTGATACACACCTGGATATGAAAATTAATTTCTATTATAAATAATGTACAGTGTCTTCCTTCTTTCTCTTCCTTCAGTTTCAGCCCTTGTGTTTCCTACAATAAAATTTTAGGTATAAATAGAAGTGAATTGGTATCTTTTAAGTCAGCAGCACTTTCTGTTACTGCTCTTGTTGGGATAGTGGAAGGTCGAAAATCAAAAGTAATTAAACATGATGTATGTTTGTTTTGTTTTTGTTTTTGTGGTGCTGGGGATCGAACCAGGGCCTTGTGTTTGAGAGGTGAGCACTCTACCAGCTGAGCTATATCCCCAGCCCCATGATGTATGTTTGAATGCAGTAATACACTGTTTTCGTGGAGATCAGCCTATGTGGTCTCTCTTGCATCAGTGGATAAGAAATCATGAATGAAGAGACCAGAAGAGAAGGCTGTGTGTGTGTGAGACAGGTTTGCTGTTTGTTCTCATCCATGGAGGTTTTTCATGATAGGCAGGCCTGCTGAGTCAGGAAGCAGCTGGATGATCAGGGCCTTTCTAGAGCACTCCTTCCCGGTGACCCTCAGAGGACCTTGGACACATAGGGGCTCTCTTGATTTCACCTAAAGCAAGAATGAAACTTCAGGGAGCCTGGTTTCATAATCAGAGGTAAACCTTCCATAAATGGCTTCCCTCAGTGAGGGGGCCAGGGGCCTCTTTGGATTAGTGTGACAATTTCTCCCAGAGCCTGCAGACTGTGATGCTTTCTTGTGATTGACTCAACCGTGCTCCTTTTGAATTTGCCATGGCTGGCGAGCATGTGGACCTCCCACCCCAGGAAGACAGACTCCACCAGGATCTTGTTTTTTTCCTGCTGGTGGGAACAGAAGGCAGGAGCCCACCAGGGCGGAGGTGGCAGTGGGAGTGGAAAGGTCTTTCCAGGTGTTCATGGTTGGCCTAGGACATGGGTCTGAACCAGGACAGCCAGCATGGAGAGGAGCATTTGAGCTCCATGTTTTAGGCAAAATTCCAAGGCTGTGAGGTCCCAAAGGCAGGAGGAGGCTGGAACCATAGATGCAGGGTGGCAAATTGCTGGGAAAGGTGTGGTCAGGGAACACATGAGACTCTTACCCTCAAGCCTATGAAAGGTTGTTTCTTCTTAGCCCTATTTTCTTTGCCTCATGACTAGGCCAATGCTTAAATACAAAACTCAAGAGGGAATACAAAACAGATGATAGCTGGATAGAAAATTAAGCCCTTTCACAAGTTATACTCAGCAGGTGGGTGGTAAGGTTTTTTCATTTTAAGGGAGGAGGAATGATTGAAAAGGCACAGGTTTTGGTGGGAATTTGGCATTTTGAAATTAATGCTCTCTGACTTTGTTTTTCCCTTTGTCCATGTACCTAGTGTGTGTCAGTTCCTGGAGCTATGTCAAAGCCCAGAAGGTGGCTTTGGAGGGGGTCCTGGTCAGTACCCACACCTTGCACCCACATATGCAGCCGTCAATGCCCTGTGCATCATTGGCACCGAGGAGGCCTATGACGTCATTAACAGGTACAACAGCCAGTAGTGGTGGAGACCCAGAAGGGCTCCCCACCTGCTACACCGCACTGACCATTGATTGCCTCTTCTGCCTCTTTCCCTGCCATTTCTCAGAGAGAAGCTTCTTCAGTATTTGTACTCACTGAAACAACCTGATGGCTCCTTTCTCATGCACGTTGGAGGTGAGGTGGACGTGAGGTGAGTGGGCAGCTGTATCAAGAGCTTGTAGAGCTTATCTGTCATTAGAGATGCTATGTTCAAGGAACAGCCTGGCAAAGCTGCTGCTTCATGCCACCAAGTGATGCACAGAATGACATTTGAGTGACACAGTGTCACAATCATTGCAAATGATACAGATGTCCTCAGGTGTCGTTCTCTCTTGTTTCTTTTATGTAAATGTCAAAACATAAGCTAGAAACAAAACCAATGCTTTTGTTTTAAAAATTGAAAATACATTTGCTTGATATAAAATGATGCACCATAATGTAAAACTGTACAGTATAATATAATCATTCATTTCTCTTGGAAGAAAGCTCAGTAAGAGACTGGACATGTAGCTCAGTGGTAGAGCATTTGCCTAGCATGCACAAGACCCTGAGTTCAATCCTCAGTACCAAAAACAGAAAAAGATAAGCCTGGTAAGGACTCAGTGAACACTTTGATTGAATTTGATCAGATGCTGAGAATGCTGAATATCTGAGATCCTCCTATGGTGTGTGAGTTACTTCAGGAGGTGTAGAGAGTCTTACAAGCCCATAGAGTGCAGTGCAGAGATGTCATATCAACTGACTGGTACCTGTTGGCGCATACTTACTATTTTACTCAAAAAGTATGTCTGCTATACCTAGCAAGTGTTTCCTTACTTGGCAGATTACTTATGAGGCGTATAGAAAATTTGGTGAATGAGTCATTTCTTTTTTTTTTTTTTTTTTGTATTTTATTTTATTTTTTTTTAGAATTTTAATATTTACTTTTAGTTTTTTGGCGGACACAACATCTTTGTTGGTATGTGGTGCTGAGGATCGAACGAACCCGGGCCACACGCATGCCAGGCGAGCGTGCTACCACTTGAGCCACTTCCCCAGCCCCTGAGTCATTTCTTAAAGTGAGTGGCTCATAATAGCTTATTGAGATTTTATACCATTTTCTTCTTATTTAGTCTGAGAAATGCAATTTTGTGTGTGTGAGGTTTCTATATCAAAGCCATCTTATTGCTTATTATTGCTTGGATTTGCTTCTACACATGTTAATAAATATTCTTACTTGAGCCAGGCATGGTGGTACATGCCTGTAATCCTAGCAGTTTGGGAGGCTGAGACAAGAGGATCGTGAGTTTAAAGCCAGCCTCAGCAATTTATCAAGGCTGTTGGCCTCACTGAGATTAAACCCCTGGATTTAATACCTTAGTAAGATACCCACATACAATTCTGACTTAAGTATCTGACTTAACCATTTGTTTGAAAGCATAGGGATTAAAAAAAAAAAAAAAAGACCATTGTTGAGCATAAAACACATTGCAGATAAAAGTAGGTAACCACACTGCAATAAAATAGATTTGTTTAGTAAAAGATTTTTCTTTTGATTAAAAGATTTTTTGGTTTGTTCAAACCAAAAAATGAGACGAGTTATCTGTATGTGCCAGTGAAGTCAATGTAACTGTTGAGGTAAAAGAGTACTGTGTTAATTCTGAAGGAAAAGATTTAAAGATTTTTGCTGCCCTCACGGTCACTGTTTTTTCATCCCTGTCCTATAGATATTACATCTAAATATGCACAGCCCTGAAACTTAGCTTTCAAAAACATATTGAGGGGCTGGGGATGTGGCTCAAGCAGTAGTGCGCTCGCCTGGCATGCGTGCAGCCCGGGTTTGATCCTCAGCACCACATACAAAAACAAAGATGTTGTGTCCGCCGAAAAACTAAAAAAAAATAAATATTAAAAAAAAACAAAACATATTGAGGGCTGGGGCTGTAGCTCAGTGGCAGAGCACTTGCCTAGCATGCTTGAAGCACTGGGTTCGATCCTCAGCACCACGTAAAAAAATTTTAACAAATAAAATAAAGGCATTCTGTCCATCTACAACTACAAAAAAAACAAAAACAAAAAAAAACTTATTGAGATTAGGCAACAGCAAACACACCATAGCAAAAGCTGTGTGTTTTAATCACCTATCTTTTTCAGACATGATTATTCTCCAACTTATTTGTTCCAGCACCAGTCTTTCTGTATTTTTATATCTGCTAGACAAATGCTGGGCAACTTCTCCAATAAAATAGATTTGTTCCACTGAAGGGCATCAGAGCCATGTTCCTCCTCTTCCTCTCTCTTTTGGACACACTCCATCATCTGAGGCCCTGCTTTTCGCTTGCACAGCGGACGAAAGATATGCATGGTGGATAAAGCCTCATAGACCTCATTGGGTTTCCTTGCCTTGCCTGGTTTCTAGGACCCACTTCCAGTTTCTTACTTGGTGTGATATTAATGGATCTTTGCCTGAAAGCATCAGCCAGCAGTCAGGAGTGTTTGTTGAGTGAATTTGACCTGGAGAGAAGTAGCTGTGGCTGGGGACAGTTTGGCTTCCAGGGACCAGCTTGCTCCCATGCTAGATTAGACAGGTGGTCTCTTGATCTTTCCGGTCCTAATCCTAAGTTTCTGAGGTGAGCTTTTTTAAGTGTTTCAGCTCCTGGATACTGTAAAATATCATATTGTGGTTAAGAAAGAAGATGCTATATATTCTTGACCTCCTTAGATTATATAATCTGGAACATTCCATGAGGTAGACAGAAGACAGGGACCCAGCATTTGCAGGTTTCAGTGACAGAACATGGATGTGCTCAAGGGAAGAGAAGGTAAGTGTTGCTGAAGTGTGAGGACCCACGGAGCTGGAGGGACTGGCTGGAACAGACTGAGGAGGCCTGGACGCTCCTCACAGAGTCTGCAGTTTATTCTGACAGGATTTAGGTTGGGAGTGATGTGATCTGATTTGTGTTTTGTTAGAAGTTCTCTAGTTGCAGTGAATGGATTATAGTGTTTTAGTAAAAGTATGATCCTTTCAGGGCTGGAAGGAAACAGACTGGACAGGAGACCAATCCAGGTAGAAGCTAATGACTGGGATTTGGGTGACACCAATAACGGTAGAAAGGAACAAATACATTTGACAGCTGTGATGGTTGAACCAGGAGAGAGGAAGAAACTACCTGGAAAAGTTGTACCTTGTCCCCTCCCCATCTCAATGTGAGATCTAGGACTAGTGGCTTTGACAGCACTTCTTGGCTCATCCATTGAAGAGAGTCAAACTCCATCTGAGGCTGCTCTGAGGTTGCATTAGGATTCAAGAGTAAATACTTCAAGCTTCTTTAAGCTCAAGGCCTGAAGGAAATTAGATCAGAGTTAGCTTATGGTAAATGACAACATTCGGTATTAGCACCATGACTCTTGAAGGCTCCTGATGTCTGCTCTTCTAGCTGAGCTTTTGCTGTAGCTGTAGCCAGTAGGATCCAGGTTGGGAATGACACTGGTAGTACAGTAATGCTTGCAGCTTCTGCAATGATTTTCTCAGAATACTGCAATATGATTGACTTCATGTCATGTCTGTACTGAATGAGACAGAAATGAAGCCCTTCTTTTTCTTCTCTTCTGTGTTCCTGAGGGGCCCTAAAAAGACTTGTGAGCAGAATTAGAACACATAGTTTTTGTCTTTACATGTTGGATATTTGAAAAGACCATGGAGGGGAAGAAAAAGCAATCCTTGGCCTTGTTCCATGAAAGAGGGACAAGCTGAAATAGAATGTGTCCCGAGAAGAATTAGGGCAAAAGGATAGAATGGCAAGAATTATACCAGATCAAGTAGGATAATGTTAAAAAATATGTATGCATGGACTGGGGTGTAGCTTAGTGGTAGAGCATGTGCCTAGCATGCATGAAGCCCTGGGCTCCACCCCCAGCACCAAAATAATAATAATAATAGTCATATTCCTTCTTTCTTGTCAAAGGGTGTGTATCTGTGTGTACTGGTGAGATGCTGGAAATCAAACTTTTTTTCTTCCCCCTAGAAGTTTAAATAATGTGTCTGAAGGGGCTCACCTATTCCTGTCTCTCTTGTTTGGTCTAAGCAGCCATTAAGAGGTCGATGGCATGCTCTGGAGTGTCTGTTACAGAAAATGTGTAGTTAACCTTTCATGCACCCGTGCCACATCCAGATAGGAATCCCAGATCTGAAATGGTGCTGACATCTGACTGAATGAGCAGCAAATCAGAAGCACCTGAAAGATACCACAGGGTGGAACCATTGTAGGTCTCTGAAAGAAATGCTAAGTCCACTTTGGACATGAATTGATATGGCTGTTATTTCCTCTGATGTAGATTTGGCCATGTGGAGGTAGGGAGAATAGAATGTCATGTTCTTTCACTGAAGCCATGCCGTGAGCAACTCTATCCAAATAGAATGTCACACCTCTCACTTGGAGACCCAGGAAGACTGACCGTGGGCCAGGAATGAGGACAGGAGGTGATTACAGCTTACTAGGCGAAGCAAGCAGTCCACCCAAGAAGTTCACTTAAGTCTTATTTAGGCTCTTCCTTAACACATAACATGTTCCCCTCTGCTTCTGTCTTTCCAGAAGTGTGTACTGTGCCGCCTCAGTGGCCTCTCTGACCAACATCATCACTCCAGACCTCTTTGAGGGCACTGCTGAATGGATAGCAAGGTGAGAGCAGCCAGGATATTTCCTGGCCTCTTAGAAGGCAGGTCAAGACTGTACTTCAGAAAAATGAAGAATATAAAAAAGGCCTGGAAGGGAATATAAAATTACAAGAGAGGTATTGGTTTGTATGATTGTGCATTTCAAAAATACTTAACACTGTTTCTTTTTTCCAGACATTCACTAATGTATTATAATTTAGATTGGCTAAAGGGAAAACCTTTTCTAAGTAGTATTGGTGGGAATCTAAATTGATTTAAGTAGTTTGGAGAGCAATATCTCAAAATGCCCCTGCGTATGACCCAGTAGTTCCACTTCCACCGAAACTCTCAGGCACATGAGTGAAACAGAGTAGAGACAAGGTCTTGTTTTATAAGAACAAAAGGCTAGAACCAGGTTTGATGTTCTTAAGCACAAGTTGAATAAGTTACGGATTAGCCACATTGGAATATAACATAGTAACCAAAATGAGTGAACCAGAGTAACGTGTCAGTGTGGATAAATCTCAAAAACAGTGTTGAGTTTTTAAAAAATGGATGTTAAAGAAAAGCTACAAGGGTAGGGATGTAGCTCAGTGGTACAGCACTTGCTTAGCAAGTGCAAGGCCCTGGGTTTCATCCCCAGCACTGCACAAAAATCACAAAACTCCTACAGATCAGCATATGTTCTTAAAATTTGAAAACATGCAAAACTAATCTCTATTATTTATGGGAAGAGTCATTTGTAGTAATAATATAAAAACATGCATGGAGGGCGGGGTTGTGGCTCAGTGGTAAAGCGTTCACCTAGCATGTGCAAGGCCCTGGGTTTGATCCTCAGCACCGCATAAAAATAAATAAATAAAACAAAGTTATTGTGTCCAACTACTTCTAAAAAATAAATATTAAAAAAAACAAAAACGTGCATGGAGGCTGGAGCAGTAGCTCAGTGGTCGAGCGCTTGCCTGAGGCACTGGGTTTGATTCTAAGCACTGCTAATGAATGAATGAATGAATGAATGAACAAACAAAATAAAGATCCATCAACAAGTTAAAAAAAAAACAAAACCCAACACATGGGAAAGAAAAACACCAGATTCAGGATGGTGGGGATGGTGACTGCCAGGCTAGCAAAGGAAAAGAGGGACATCTACATCAGTATCAATGATATTGGCCGTGGTTCATTTCTTTAAAATAAATAAATAAATAATAAATGCCTAAAGTGTCCATGGCTAGATCTAAGTTAGGTATTACATACCTGTGCATTCTCTGTACTTTTCTGTATTCTTCAGGTACCTCATAATTTTTTAAAAAAGCATGATGGATACATATGTACTATTATGGAATGATAGCTAAGCTTATTTTCTTAATTAAATGTTTATCAAAATAGTAGTTATTATAATGTAAATATAACTTACAGTAAAATCAGATGATATACTATGATCATATTTTTTTTTGTATAACTTCCATTTTCCTGAAGTTAATATATATCTCATGAATGTGTATATCATGAATTCATCTCCAAATTTCTGTCAGAGCTATAAAGTTATTCTCCATACAATCATACACCTCAGGTAACCTATTTTGTGTGTGTGTACATGTATGTGTTTGTGTGTGTGTGTTCTGGGTCATCCCTCCTGCAGCCCTCTGCCTTCCTGCTTCAGGCTGGACAGATTGCTCTCAGCTTGCTGCACAGTGAGCATCCAGAAGCTTCCTTTCAGCATGAAATCCTCTTCACATCTCTGCTTTGTTGAAGCCCTTATCTTTCAGAGGCTTTTTTTTGTTTTTTGGTTTACTTAATTAATTTGAATGAAGCACATATGCCAAACATGGGTACTTGGAAGATATATTTTTAGAACTTGCATATGTCTTTATTTTACTCTCAGACCTCCTTGATAAAGTTTATTTGGTTAGAGAGATCTAAGTTGGCATTGGTATAAACTGTATTCCTTCTGAATTTGTAAGCATTGCTCCATTATCTTCTGGCTTCCAATGTTGTCATTAATTAATTATCTGTCATTAATAAGACAGATAACTTTAATAACCAACATTTCTTGAGGATTTTGTAGTACTCTATAGTAAACTGGCTGTAGTTCAGAGAATGAGAATAGGCACTTCTGGGGTTTTATATTTTCTGTTTATCAATGGAGATTACCCATTTTTCTTTCATTATGCATGTATTTTTTTCTTTAATGTGGCAAATATATAATTATATCTGTGTTAAAATCCTTGTCTGGTCATTTCAACATCTTGAAGTTAGCTCATTACATTTTCCCAACTCTTCCTAGGTTAAATAGATTTGGGATTATATCCTGAACATGGTAATTATATTGTAGGTGGATTCTGTTTGATTGTTAATCACTCTGAAGGATATTGGTGTTTTTGTTCTAGCAGACAGTCAAATTGGTCAGACTCAAAACTGCAAACCAGGATCCTGTGGTGGTTAATGGCTCAGATCTGTCCAAAGCTGCTTTCAGTCTGTCCAATGCAGTATGATTCAGGGGTTGGATAGAAACTTGAACTAAGTTAAAAGGTGAAATCTGGGCTTTCCATTCCTCTTTCTAGAACTTTCCTTACTTTCTGGCAGCCTGTCTCTTCCTGCCAGAAAGATGGTTGGCTTTTTTTTCTTTTCTTTTCTTTTTTTTTTGGTACTAGGGATTAAGCTCAGGGGCACTTGACCACTGAGCTGCATCCCCAGCCCTATTTTGTATTTTATTTAGAGACAGGGTCTCACTGAGTTGCTTAGCACCTTGCCATTGCTGAGGCTGGCTTTGAACTCTCGATCCTCCTGCCTCATGCTCCCAAGCTGCTGGGATTATAGGCATGTGCCACCACACCCAGCAAGATGGTAGGCTTTCTATAAGAGTTTTAGCTGCATCCCTGAGCTGTGGCCTGAGCTGCTGCTGCTACCTCTGGACTGTTACAGCCATCCTCAGGGCAAACCAGAGGATAAAGATTGTGGTGGGAGTGAGGGCTTGGCTCTGCTATTGTCTGCTCCAAGTTTCAAATCCCCACCAAACTCTGCACACCTGTTCAGTCAGCTGGGCCCTTGGAAAGCTGTGCTTTGTGTTTTGTGCAGGGCGTGTCCTGCTGTCTTCAGGAGGGTGGATTGTCAGGCTCTTCTTGGATGTGGAAATCTGACTGACTGGGCTGAATCCTAGTTTTGTCAGTTATTACTGACTGTCTGCCTTAGACAGGTTAGTTAACTTCTTCATGTTATAGTTTCTTTATATGTCAGATGGTGGGATATTGAATTTTATATAAAGCTGGAATACAAAATAATCAAGTAGATTTAACCTTGGTGGTCACCTCTGGGCCATGCTACTGCCAGAGCCATTGTGATGCCCGCTGTGGGCTTTTATTTTTCTTCTCTTTTTCTCTTTCCCCATCCCACCTGCCCTCCTAGAGACTTTGGGGGAGTCTTTATTCTAGCTCTTTAGAGACTTCATGGTGATGAAACTTGATGGGAATCTGTTTTCACTCATTGTACTGGGCACTCAACAGGCCTTGTGGATTAGGAAGCATTCATACTTCAGTACAAGAAGCTTCATTATAGTATTTCTTTGATAATTTGTTCTCCATTTTCTCTGTTTGTTCCTTTTTATAACATCTAATCAATAGGATTGACCTAATTTTAAAAAAAGTTTTTTTTTTTTTGCCTGTTTTTCATTCCTTAATCTGTTTTCTGGAAC